TGCTGCTGTGTCCCTTGGTAGACCCTGCAGCCTTGCTGTTGTTGCTGCTGCTGCTCCTGTAGCTGCTGCTGTAGCAGCAGCAGCTGCTGCTGCTGCTGCTGCGTCGCCCTTGACCACTCTGCCTCATAGACCGAGCCGAAGGTCCCTTGGCCAAGACGGGAGTTCTTAAGAGTTAGCCACCCTACACCCATCCACCACTCTAGCCGCTCCTGCTGCTGCTGCTGCTGCTGTTGATGATGCTGCTGCTGCTGCTGATTATGATGATGCAGTTGCTGCCCTTGCTGCAGCTGATTCAACGCGCCTGTACGTGGCTGCTTCAGGTGTTGCTGCAGTGCTGCAGCAGCACGCATTGGCCCATCACTATGTGTTGGCCTCGAATGCTGCTGCTGTTGCTGCTGTTGCTGCTGCTGCTGCTGTGGTCTGGGGGTTACAGGTGGAGCAGCACGACGACGCAGCAGCAAAGACTCCGTTGCTACTGATTCTCCTGCTGCTGCTGCTGCTGCACCAGAAGCAACAGCACTAGAGTAGAACGGAGATGCTGCTGCTGCTGCATCGAATGCAGCAGCAGATGACGACTGCAGCGACTTAGCAGCACCACGATAATCAGAGACACTTCGTGCTGCACTTGCTGCACTTGCTGCTCGTTGCTGCTGCTGCTGCTGCTGCCGCTGCGGTTGCTGGCGATGTGCCTGCTGCGGCTGCTCGGCCTGCCGCTGCTGCTGCTTGTCAAGAGATGCAACAAAACGTGAGAAACTCCTGCTGCTGCTGCTGCTGCTGCCGCTGCGGTTCCTTCGGGCTCCCGCGCTGCTTCCGCTGCTTCGCAGCAGCGGCTTCGCCCACGTATCAGATGCAGCAGCAGCAGCTGCTGCTGCTGCTGCTGCAGAAGCAGCAGAAGCAACGGGAGCAGCAGCAGCACTAGTAGTAGCTGCTGACGTTGCAGTTGGAGATGCAGAGGCAGCAGGAGAATTAGGATCTGCTGCTGCATCTGCTGCTGCATCTGCTGCAGCATCTGGTGCTGCATCTACTGCTGCATCTGTTGCTGCACCTACTGCTGCATCTGCGGCTGCACCTGCTGCAGCATCTGCTGCTGCTGGTGCTGCTGCTGCTGCTGCGGCGGCAGACGACTTCACTGAAGCACAGCGGCCTCGCTTGCGCGGACGCTCTGCAACAACTGCAGCAGCGGGTGCTGCTGCTGCTGCTGCTGCTGCAGCAGCAGCTGAAGCAGCTCCTTTACCTCCACCGACGCGCTTCTTCCCGTTGCTGCTGCTGCTGCTGCTGCTGTTACTGCTGCCCTGGATAACTTGGTCTGATGGTTGCGGTGTCTCGCCAAGTTCGTTGCTGCTGCTGCTGTTGCTGCTGCTGCTGGAGTCTGCTGCTTGAGCGACACTGGGCAATGCAGCTGCCTCTTCCTGCTCAGTAGGGCTGCTGTGCTGCTGCTGCTGCTGCTGCTGTTCAGGTTGCTGTAGCTGCTCCATTTCGCCTTGTTGCTCCTCAGCAACAGCGGCATCTGCAGCAGCGGTTGTCGCGCTGCTGCTGCTGCTGCTGCTGCTGTCCTGTTGCTGCTCCTGCTGCTGTTCATCCCTCTCGTCACCCCATTCAGCAGCTGCTGCAGCAGCAGCTTGCTCTGCTGCAGCAGCGGCATCGTCATCAGGTGCAGCAGGAGACTGTGCTGCAGTATCCGCTGCAGCTGCATCAACAGCAGCAGTAGCAGCAGCAACAGCAGCAGAGCCCACGACCTTCGAAGACACAGCAGCTGCTGCAATGCCAGAAGCAGCCTCGCCCTCATCTGCTGGTGCTGCAGGCTCCTGCTGCTGCTGCTCCTGCTGCTGCACTTCCTGCTGCTGCTGAGGATCTTGCTCCTGCTGCAGCAGCGAGGTTTGTTCCAGTTGCACGTCTTGCGGCTGCTGTTCCTCCTCCTGCTGCTGCTGCTGCTCATGCTGCTGCTCCTCTTGTGCATTTTGCTGCTCCTGCTGCTCCATCGAAGGCACACTGCTAGAGTCAGCAGCTGCTGCTGCTGCCACTTCTTTCGGCTGCTGCTGCTGCTGCTGCTGTTGCTGCTTTTGCCGCCGCCGCCGCTTCTGCTGCTGGGAAGAGGCAGCAGATACAGCCGGTGCTTCTGCTGCTGCTGCGTCTGCTGCTGCTGTCGGTTCTGCTGCATCTGCAGCTGTAGCTGATGCAGTGTCTGCTGCTGCAGTGTCCGTTGCAGTTTCTGCTGCAGTTTCTGCTGCAGTTGCTGCTGCAGTTGCTGCGGCAGGTGCTGCTGCAGTTGCTGCGGCAGGTGCTGCTGCAGTTGCTGCTGCAGTTGCTGCGGCAGGTGCTGCTGCAGTTGCTGCGGCAGGTGTGGCTCCATCTGCTGTTCCTTCTGCTGCTCCATCTGGTGCAGCAGTTGCTGCTGCTGCTGGTGCGTCGGCACCAGGACCTGCTGCTGAGACGGCTGCTTCCTCTGCTGCTGCTGCTGGCTTTGCTGCTGCTGCTGCTTGTGCAGTCATTTGTGGTTCGATTGGTGCTGCTGCAGGTGCTGCTGCAGGTGCTGCTTCTGCTGCTTTGTCTTGGATTGCTGCAGTTGCTGCTAGGTCGGCTCCTGCTGCATCCGTTGCTGCTGCAGCTGCGGTGGTTACGTTTCCTCCTGCTGCTGCTTCTGCTGCTTCTGCAGCTGCAGTTGCTCCTGCCGTTGCTGCATCACCTAGTGCTGCTGTTGTTGCTGCTGCTGCGGTTTCCTCAGCTCGCGACTCTTCTGTATCCGCAGCTGCTGTTACGGCAGCAGCAGCTGCTGGTGGTACTGTTGCTGCTGCTGCTGCTGCTGTTGCGTGTGCAGCAGCTGCTGATGGAGCTGTCGATGCTGCTGAGGCAGTTATCGTTGTTGCTTCTGCTGCTTCTGGAGCTGCTGCAGCTGCTGCAGCTGCTGCAGCTGTTGCTTCTGCTGCTGCAGCTGTTGCTTCTGCTGCTGCATCTGCTGTTTCTGCTGTGGCTGCTGCTGCAGCTGTTGCTTCTGCTGCTGCATCTGCTGTTTCTGCTGTGGCTGCTGCAGCAGCTTCTGTATCAGCTGATGGCGACGCGCTTGTTGTGTCTGGCAGCAGTTGCTGCTCTTCTCTAGCAGCAGCAGCAGCAGCAGTTTCACCATCTGCTGAGGAATCAACTCGCCCCAGCAGGTGCTGTTGTTGCTGCTGCTGCTGCTGTTGTTGCTGCTGCTGCTGCTGATGTTGCTGCTGCTGCTGCTGGTCTCCCAAAGGCATATTCATACTTGGTGGTTCAATCTCGTGCTGCTCTCCCTGCTGCTGCTGCTGCTGCTGCTGCTGTACTTGCTGCACATCTTCTGGCTGCTCTTGTGACTGCTGCTGCTGCTGCAGCTCCTCCTGTTGAGAGGTCGCTCCTGGCGGGTCGCGCGCATCCCTCTGCTGCTGCTGCTGCTGCAGTTGCAGCTGCTGTTCGTCCACCAGCGGGTGGAGGGTCTGCTGCTGCTGCTGCTGCTGCTGCTGCTGCTGCTGCTGTACTTCATTCAGGTATGTGGCAGCCACCGGCTCGTCCATTCGCTTAACAACTTGCTGCTTCTGCTGCGGCTGTTGCTGCTGCTGCAGCTGCTGGTAATGTTGTTGCTGCTGCTGCTGCTGCGCTTCCACTGGGCTGCAGTATGCGAAGGCGGCAGCTGCTGACACCTCAGCAGCAGCAGGAGCAGCAGCAGGAGCAACAAGAGCAGCAGCAGTAGCAGCAGCAGCAGGTTGTTGCTTTGTTGCCATGGCAGTTGCTGCTGCTGTTGCAGCTGCTGTTTGCTGCTGGCTGTCCCATGAGGCCTCTCCATGGTGCGTTGTGCTGCTGCTGCTGCTGCTGCTGCTGCTGGTACTGGTCTTGCTACTAGACGAGTATCGTTTGCTGCTGCTGCTGCTGCCCCCGTGACTGTTGCCGCCACTCTTGCTGCTGCTGCTGCTGCTTCTGTTGCTACTCTTGCTGCTACTACTGCTCTTGCTGCTGCTCTTGCTGCTGCTCTTGCTGCTGCTTCTCTTGCTGCTGTGTTTGCTGCTGTGTTTGCTGCTATCTTGGCTGTTTTTGCTGCTGCCTTTGCTGCAGTATTCAGTGCTGCTGAGAGAGACAGAAGCCACGCCCTCCTCAGCCGCAGCAGCAGCAGCAGCTGCTGCTGCTGCTGCAGCACTACCACTTACCGCAGGAGACCCTGCTGCAACAGACAGCGCTGCTGCTGCTGCTGCCGGTTTTGCTGCTGCATATGCAGGCGGGGCAGCAGCAGGCAGAGTAGCAGCAGAAGCCTGTCTTATCGCCTCTCCTGCTGCTGCAACAGCTGCTGCAGCGCGAGCAGCAGCAGCAGCGACTCGTGGCGGTGGTGCAGCTTTTGCTGCTGCAGCTGTTGCACCTGCTGCTGCTGTCGCATGAGTCGCTGCTTCAGCTGCTGCTGTAGGTGGTGGAGAGAATGTTCTTGCTGCTGTTGCTGCTGCTGCTGCTGTTGCTGCTGTTGCTGCTGTTGCTGATGCTGCTTTTATATGCCTATTTAGTGTGGGGCTCTGCTGCTGCTGCAGCAGCCCCTGCAGCCAACTAACAGATGCCTCTTTTTCTGTTACTTCCTGCTGCACCGAAGCCTTCTGCTGCTGCTCGTGCTGCTGCTGCTGCTGCTGCTGCTTCCGCTGCTGCTGCAGCAGTTGCTGCTGCTGCTGCAGCTGCTGAATAGCAGAACGTGCAGCAACCCGCACGCGCTGCGCCGTCTGTGGTGTTGCTGATGGAGCTGCATGAGGAGTGCGCTTTTGCTGCTGCTGCTGCTGCTGCTGCTGTTGTTGCTGCTGCGGTGAGAAGACCTGTGGCTGCTGCACTTGCTGCTGCACTTGCTGCTGCACTTGCTGCTGCACTTGCTGCTGCACTTGCTGCTGCACTTGCTGCTGCAGCCGCTGCTCGAAATGGTGAGGAAGCTGCTGCTGCAGTTGAGGGCTACAAGAAGCAGCAAAATCATATGGCGTCAAACAAAGCTGCTGCTGCTGCTGCTGCTGCTGCTGTTGCTGCTGCTGCTGCTCATTAGGGGTAGCCTGGAATGGTTGAGGCGAGTCAGTCAAGGACGACGACATGCAAAACTGCTGCTGCTGCTGCTGCTGCTGTTGCTGCTGCTGCTGCTGGTGTGAGTATGGGGATTCGCTAGAGCGTCCCTGCAGCAGCCAATCGACGATCTCCTGCTGCTGCTGCTTCCGTTGCTGCCGTGTCTCCGCAGTGCCAGCGGCAGCAGCAGCTGCTGCTGTTGCTGCTGCAGTATGGCTGCTGCTAACCCTAATGCCGCCACCACCAAAGGAAGTGCTGCTGCAGTGCTCGGGTGTATAGAAGGCAAAAGGAGACTCCGCAGCAGGAGTAAGGGATTGCTGCTGCAGCTGCTCCCATTGCTGCTGCTGCTGCTGCTGTTGCTGGTGCTGCTGCAGCTGCGGGTGCGACAGTGATAAGGGAGGAGGGGGGGGTGGAGGTGAGGGGGAAGAGGCCTTAAAGAACTCATGAGCTGATGCTGCTGCTGGTAGCGTTGTGGTCTGCTGCTGCTGCTGCTGCTGCAGCTGCCGCTGCTGCCGCCATGGACTATGCTGCTGCTGGTAGTCCCACGTGCAGTGGGCATGCTGATGAAGCCACGGCTGCTGCTGCGTGTGCTGCGGCTGCTGCTGCTGCATGTGCTGCTGTTGCTGCAGCAGCTGTTGTTGCTGCATGTGCTGCGGTTGCTGCACTTGCTGCAGCTGCTGCACGTGCTGCAGTTGCTGCTGCTCCACGGTACAAGCTGGCTGTACCTGGGCCCAGTCGTAGTGACCGTGCTGCAGCTGCTGCAGCTGCTGCTGCTGAAGCTGCTGCTGCTGCAGCTGCTGTTGTTGCAGCTGCTGCTGCTGGAGCTGCGGTTGCTGCAGATGCTGCTGTTGGAGCTGATGTTGCTGCAACTGCTGCTGCTGAAGCTGCTGCTGCTGCAGCTGCTGGTGCTGAAACTGCTGCTGCTGCAGCTGTTGCTGGTGCAGCTGCTGTTGCTGCAGCTGTTGCTGCTGCAACTGTTGCTGCTGCAACTGCTGCTGTTGCAACTGCTGCTGTTGCAACTGCTGATGCTGCAGCTGCTGTTGCTGCAGCTGCTGTTGCTGCAGCTGCTGTTGCTGCAGCTGCTGTTGCTGCAGCTGCTGTTGCTGCAGCTGCTGTTGCTCCTGCCCCCACTCAGAACACAGCTGCCAGGTCTGCTGCTGCTGATGCCATCCCTGCTGGACACCGTTTTGCTGCTGCTGCTGCTGCTGCTGTTGGAGCCATCCTACTTGCTGCTGTTGCTGCCACGGTTGCTGCTGTTGCGTTTGCTGTTGTTGCTGCTGCCAGCCTTGCTGCTGTTGCTGCTGCTGCTGAAACCAGTCAGCTTGATGTTGGTAGCCTTGAAGCTGCGACTCTGCATGCTGCTGCTGCTGTTGCTGCTGCTGCTGCTGCTGCTGCTGCCACCTGCGCAAGTGGTCCTCAGCAGTTTGTGGCGGGTGCGGGTCTGGCAGCAGCTGCTGCTGTTGCTGCAGTTGCTGCTGTTGCTGCAGCTGCTGCTGTTGCTGCAGCTGCAGCTGCTGCTGCTGCAGTTTCCAGTCGCTCTGCTGCAGCAGCCCCCCGTATTGCTGCGGATGCCAGCTGTGGCGATGCTGCTTCTGTTGCTGCTGCTGCTGCTGCTGCAGCGGATGCTGCTGCAGCGGATGCTGCTGCTGCTGCTGCCACTCCTGCGATGGACAAGCTGTGCTCCATTGTTGCTGCCAGCTGTGCTGTTGCTGCTGCTGGTGCTGCTGGTGTTGCTGCCCTTGGTGCAGTTGCTGCTGTTGCTGCTGCTGTTGCTGCTGCTGCTGCGTGTCTATTACCTCGGGGTGGCGACACACTGCAGCAATGCTGCTGCAGCGCTCAAGCCAGCTTACACCAGAGCCCCATCCGCTGCTGCTGCTGCTAAGGCCCCAATCGCTGCTGCTGCTGCTGCTGCTGCTGCTGCTGCCGGTACACCAGCTGTTCCTGCTGTGGCTTCTGCCTTGAGTCTCCCATCCGCTGCTGCCGGTCCAATATCCGCTGCTGCTGCTGCTGCTGCTGTTGCTGTTGCTGCTGCTGCTAGTGGTGGTGGTCTGAGTTGTGAACAAATTCGCGTGAGTAGTATGGGAAGTGCTGCTGCTGCTGCTGCTGCTGCTGTGGCTGCTGCTGCTGCTGCTGCTTTTATGTTTTCTTATTTGCGGTGGGGAAGAAATGACTGCCCAGGGATCGATCCCCGGGCTAGGGCTGCGTTCCTGTACAAGGGCCTTTTTGCTGCTGCGCCTTCTGCTGCTGCTGCTGCTGCTGCTGCTGCTGCTGCTGCTAGCGCCGCCTGAGCCAGCAGCAGAGAGGCCCTGGCCCGGAGGCGACATGAGTGTCTCGGGACATTGTACTATGGGCTGCTGGTGCTGCAGCACGGTGCTGCTGCTGCTGCAGCACGGTACTGCTGTTGCAGCTCGCTGCTGCTGCTGCAGCTCTGTGTTGCTGCTGCAGAGCGGCGCTGCTGCTGGCACGGCAGCA